AGCAAATTTTTAAAAATAATACATAAAATTAAATAAATAATTCTTTAAAAAAAGACATAAAGATATTCAGAGAAGAAGACCATGTGAAGATGGAAGCAAAGATAGAAGTTAGGTTACCTCAAGCCAAGGAATGCCAAGGATTTTTAAAATAATTATTTTATTTAATTTTATTCATTGTCATTAATATCATTATTATTATTATTTTAAGTTGACCAGAGAGAGAGACAATGGGAGAGAAGAAAATTCCTCTTGGGATTTGAGGTTTTGGTCATGCATATACACATGCCTGGTGTGTTTTTCAGAAAATTCCTTTTGGGATTTGAGGTTTTGGGCATGCATATACACATGCCTGGTGTGTTTTTCAAGTTGTAGGGTCTGACACTCAAGCCACCCGGTTAGACAGGTGGGATCTAGCCACCTTAACAACCTAACAACCGTGCTACCTACTGGCCCCAACTTTCTGGCCTTGTAAAACAAATTTACACTTATTTTCATCTGTAAAGTAAGCAGCAGGTGCAGGGAGGCTTTTCTCATCCTACCCTCTCACCTTTCTTAGAACAGGAAGATTAGAGATGTGACAACTGGCTCAGGAAGACAGCATTCTCCCCTTCCCCATTTCTTTTTTTTTTTTAGAGTTTTTTTGCTATAGGGCGCATACGCTCACCAGACAGACAGAGAGAGACATAGAGACAGAAGGTGAGAAATCACCCCCCAGGGGGGATGGCCACACCGCAATCCCTTCTCCTCCGTTCTCCTCTCAGGATCTTGGGCACGCACGCACCCGCACCCGGTGTGAGTTTTAAGCCATCGGGTCTGGGACGCGAACCGCGGTCGACTACATAGGAGTCCAGCTACATAGCCGTTACACTAACTGCTGTTCCCCCCTTCCAAGTAAACTAATTTAACTCCAGCCCACCCCTGTCCTGTGTGGTATAAAACCGCCAGCCAACTGGACTTTCCTTCAGCAGCCTTTGTCAGTGCCCTTATGCACATATGTAGTAAGTTAATCTGTAAACCTTTTTTACTTATCAATCTGTCCATTTTTCAGTGATTTTTTTTTTTTAAGTAAACTCTAGAGACCAAATTCTGTCACCCCTCTGGTGGGAATATAGGTAAGATTTTAATGAATTATCATTGTTTTCTTTTTTTTTTTGGAGAGGTTTTTTTGCTATAGGGTGCGTGCACTTGCCAGAAAGACAGAGAGAGGCAGAGAGATAGAAAGCAAGAAATCACCCCCCGGGGGGATGGCCACCCCGCAATCCCTTCTCCTCCATTCTCCTCTTGGGATCTTGGGCACACATGCACATGCGCCCAGTGTGAGTTTAAGCCACCAGGTCCGGGACTTGAACCTCGGTTTACTACATGGAAGTTCAGGGACATAGCCATTATGCTAGCTGCTGGTCCCATGAATTATCATTGTTGAAGTTGATGATGTACATGGATATTTCTCACATCCTTCTCCTCACTTTAAAGTACATTTGAAAATATCCTCAGCAAAATGTTTAAAAATAGTTCTAGAGCAGGTGGCATGCTCAGAATCTTAAGAGGAGAAAGGAGGAGAAGAGATTGTGGCATGGCCGTCCCCTCTAGGGAGGAGTGATTTCTCACTTCCCCTCTCTCTGTCTGTCTCTGGCCAGCACATGCACCCAATGGCAAATAGCTAAAAGAAAAACAAAACACACTAAATTTTAGAGGGCAGGGTATGGGACAATAACAAGCATTACAAACAAACAAGCTCCTACTCTATGTTAGGCCCTGTGCTGAAAGTGATAGTCTAATATTAGGGTAGGAGTCAGTGCTGGAGGAGAGAAGGAATTAGTGTCTCCCTCCCCACACTTTTAACTCTTGGAGTAAAATGCATAGTACCCACTGAACTCTAACCATGTTAAAGGAGTAAGAGTTCTTCTTTTCTCTCAGTCTACCTTATGACTTCATCTCTAAGGCTTTTCTTGCTTGGAAAGGTGGGCCAAGAGCAAGAAGGAAAAAAAAGAGGGGGAAAGAGGAAGAGAGAGGAGATCTTGCTGTAGGATCGGGTCTCGGCACTGCCTCCACACCAAGCTAAGGTCCTCAGTAATGTCTCAGTCTGTGGAGACACTTCTGCAACTCTGTTGGGATGGAGAGACCCAGTGGACTGATTTTGAAGGCCTCTAGTTCTTACAGGAAAATACACCAAGGAAATAAGGTATTGATTCACATTAGCCTGAGACGGTTTTTCTAAGAAATGAGTCCCCCAAATCAGCCCTCAAATGACCTTTCAAAATCTAAATAGGCAAGCAGGGAAAGCTATTGCTCATTAAATATGTAGTGCTTGTTTTAATTAGTATGTTAACATTATGTCAGATTTATGATACAGTGTGTTCTTTGCATGCACTATAGAATATGTTGGGAGTCCCCCGCATAATACCAGGTTCAAATGTGTGCATATTTTTTTAATCATTTAATTACTAAGACAGTGTAGTAACACATACCTCTTAGAGAACACCCATACAATCGCCTAGATAGTATTTCCTTCATCAGTAAAAGGGAGTTGTATGAGTCAGTCTCTTAAAATCTGAGTCATGTGGGGGACAGCAGGTGGCCTGGTGGTTAAAGCACTGGACTCCCACATGGCTGACTGCCATCTGAATCCTGGTCTTGGCAACTTGAAAATTGTGCTGGGCACATGTGCATACAGGCCCAGAATCCCAAAAAGAGACTAGAGGAGAAGGGATTGCAGCGTGGCCATTCCCCCGGGGTGGAGGGTGATTTCCCACTTGCCCTCTCCATATCTCTTGCTCTCTGGTGAGTGCATGTGCCCTATAGCAAAAAAACTTAAAAAAAGAAAAGAAAAGAAAAGAAAAGAAAAGAAAAGAAAAGAAAAGAAAAGAAACGAAACTGAGCCATGGAACATGATTTTACTATTTTTCAAAAATTATGAGGCCCAGCTATGGCACAAGTGTTCTGCAAGGCTGGAAGTCACATAGCCAACTGTGAGCTTAGATCCCTGGGTCAGCCTTAAAACACACTGGACATGCATTCGCTGGCGTCTAGGGGAAAAAGGGTCATAGCATGACAAGACCCTGTTGAATGTGCTTTCACTTTCTCCCACTCACCCCTGTGCACATGCAGGTGTCCCTATCATAAAAGAGCATTATTATAGATTTGTTATTATAGTTTTGTTTTTATAAGATTTTATTGATTGTATCTGGAATTTATAGAAAACCAACTTGAGGTCTTGAAACAGGACTCCCAATTAGAACGTTGTTCTAAAGGAAAATGAGCAGTTCCACTTTAGCATGCCCCTTTCAGGAACACGCCATGGCAAAGATAGGGCTGTTGATACCATGTTTACTCCATTAATACCACAACTTCAAGCATTTATTGTGTCCTTCTTATGTGTGGGGTATGCACTCTGACATGGCTCTCTGAATCTGTAAACTGGGGATAATAATATTGGGTCATCATAGAAAAAACATAGAAAAACACGTCATGACTTTTCTGAAGACCAATAGCACTTGGAGAATAACAATGTATGTTAGCATATTAAGAACATGAGAGACTACAGTAAAGCAACCTGTATAGTACTTTTTATTTTTTTCATTTTTAGTGTACCTGTTAATATCCTACAGTATTATATGCCATGGCATATGAGTTTTGGAAAAGCTATAGACGTTTAAGAAAAGGTGACCTGGGCTAGCAGGTGATGTGGTGGCTAAGGTGCTGGACTCCCACATGGCTGACCAGAATTCAAGTCCCAGATACATCGATTTGGAAATCACTCCATGCACTTAGCATGTGTGTCCAACATCCCAAAGGAGAGTGGGAGAGAAGGGATTGTGGCATGGTCATCCCCCCAAGGTAGGATTATTTTTCCATCCCCGCTCAAGCCCCTCCGTGCACTGTATAAGAAAAAAAAAAAAAAAAGAGGATGATTTCTCAATCCCCGCTCAAGCCCCTCCATGCACTGTATAAGAAAAACTGAAAAAAAAAAAAAAAAGAAAGAAAGAAAGGTCACCTGGCCTTAAGCCAACTGCAAGTGGAAGAAAAGTGAGTGTGAATATTCAGCAATGGTAGGACACATTCCTGCCAGTTTTGTGGGACAATACAAGGTCTTTAATTCAGGCATACCTGGGTCCAGATCTTGGGTCTTTCATTCCCTAGCTGACTGAACTCAGCCAAGTTACCTAACATCTGGGTCTCATGTGACCAAGGAAGAAAGATACCCTTCTCATAATGGCATTTTCAGAATTAAATAAGGTAAGTACCTGGTGTGTAGGCTATACTGGTGTTAGTTCCCTTCTTATCCTGAGCTCCAAGACTTACATTGTATTTGTGCCTTTGCTAATAAACCCCCACAGGGACCCAAACAGACCAATGACTAAAGGATCTCTTCCTTTGTGAAAGGCTTCATTTCAGGATTTATCAAAGGCCAGGTGATGGTAACAAGCTCTTGCATTTACAATGTGAATACATTTCTAAAATCTTGACGTACAGATGCCTATTTCAAGAATGTGCCTCTTGTACAAGGTGAAGGTCACAGGTCCAGAGAGACTAAGAATCCTGTTTCTCTAAGATCGCATCTGAAAGTTAAGACTCTACAAATGCATTGTCTAAATCACGTCCACGTTTGCTTGCTCCGGGCTCATCCGGATCCTGCCTCAGCACAACCCTTCGTTCTCATCTCCTACATCAGTCTTAACAGGCTGATGTAGCAGATAAAACTAAATTTCAAGGTCAAATGGAAAAGAACCTGTGCGAAATCATTCCCCTTGCAAAGTGACCTTTGCACTGCGCTGTTGGAATCGAAGGACCCAAGTGTTCCTAGCCTCCTAAGTACCCCTGCCCACGCACACTGAGCTTAAAGTTCAGGAAGTAATAACAAAGGAATGAGAAGCCCGATCTCAGGCCTCTGAAGAATCTCCCTGTCTGCGCCTCACCTCTCCCTCCTCCTGGGTGTGTCTGTCGGGGAAGGCCAGTGAGTAACCTGCACATTTTTTTCCGTCTTGGCCCTTCCCACCCAGACGAGAGGACTGAGTGGCAGACAGGCAGGCAGACGGTGGTGAGTCCTGTTCAAGCATGCAAGGAGCACACCTGCACCCACACCCACCGCCTGGACCCCTCGCCTCCCGCACCCCACCCCTGGAGGAGCCAGGGCACCGGCCAAAGTCTGGAGGGCGCCTCGGCTCCCGCTCCCGATGGTAAGGCTGCCCGCAGCAGGTCCACTTCATTCATTGTATTTGCTTCCATGTTGGCTTTTCTTTTCCATTGTGTTTGGGTGGGAGAGTTTGAAAGATTGAAGGTGTTTTGTTTGTCTGGCTTGTTAGTGCTGCTAGGTGGTCCCAAGACAAAGAAATGTCTTTTCCCAGCAGGGTTTATTAAAACTTGTAACCGGATAGTCTGGCCTTGGAACCAAACTTAACATACTGATTGTCTCTGGTTAGTTCAATTTACCCTTAAGACCATATAGCAAAACAAAAACAACTACTTACCAAATTGGTGTGGAGGAAGAAAACGTCCTAAAAATTGTGGACATTCATACACGCACTGCTGACTAATTGAAATGTTGCTTAATTCTTACAGACAAGATGTTTTCACCTCAGAACAAAACAAACAGAAAGTCTATTTAAAGGGTTTCAGTGTTGAATGTGAGATGCCAGAGGTGGAGTTTGAGAAAAGAGTTAAGAGATAAGTAGTTCTAATTAAATATATGTTCACATGGAAGGATTGAATTCAATCTGTGATGTTCTGGGGTGGAAACAGCCTGATGTTCAATGTGGGGTTCATGTGGTATGTGAGAGAACAAACTGAGATCTTTGTATAGCCTGTTGAGAATTCTTTGAGGCCACAGTCAGCGGGCAAACAGCGGAGGCTGGGAAGCAGGTTTTTTGGTTTGGGGCTGGTGCCAAGGCTTCTCCCCCATTGCTGTGGGTGAGAGAGTAATTCAGACTAATCAAGTGCTGCATTGTTAACAGGCTTCTGGGTTTCAAATATTTATTCTAAACACTAGCTGTAGAGTGCACTGGCATGCAAAGGAATAAAATTGCTTCCTCTGGTTCCTGGCCTTGCCCAAACTTTAATACCTGGGAAGATTTCAAGAAATGAGATGTAGGAAAGATAAGGTGATGTGTAAAGTTAATTTGAGACTACACAGCTATAGTGTGGTTGAAACAGCCCTGTGCTTTTAACAGCCCTGAGGAATTACATCGTGATCACATTAGTGTGTGAAGATGCTGAGCCAAGGGGTTTGTTTATAGGAAGAGTGGCGTAGGAAACTGCAACAGGAGTTGGCCCGAACCAGAAGCACTACCATGACACATACATGTTTGACTCGTGCCCAGGTGTCCCTGCAAATGCAACCCAAGTTCATTTGGGGCTCCTCTCTGCAGGCAGCTTAGGGATTCTCTAAGGACCATAGTCGTCTGTACTTAACATTTCTAGAGTAACAATGAAGAGCAACCCTAAGAAAATAATGTAGTGGCATGGCACTTGTGTACACTGATGTGCTTGCTGGCATATAGAAACTGGGTGTGTAGCCAGCTGTGAGCGAGTGTGGGAGGGGTACAGGCGAGGGAAAACCCCCTTCTTAGAGTACATGCCCTCTTCGAAGTTTCAGGAAAGCACAGTGTGTCCACTGCTGACGAGCAACCAGTAGTTCCTCATCACTGTCATCATCAGTGCTCCTGTGGTGATAATGCCAGTAGCTTGCATTACAACTTTGGGTTCCCCTTGGCTAGTTAATCAAAAGCAGAGATTGACTGCGGCCCCATCAGACAGATCAT